AGTGCAAGTCTAGCTATCTGTCAGATCAGAAACGTCCTACTACTAAAGCGAGTGTGCTGCTTGCTTAAAGGACAATTTTTTTTTTTTTTAATTTGAATTGTTTGAGGTGTTGTTTACTTCACGGGCTTGGTAATAGCTATGGTTCAAAATAGAAAAAAATGTTTAGAGGTCAGTCTGTATATGTCTGATATGGTGTTTCTATGTGCAACAAAACTTTTTCAAACGTATACGTTATATGTCTAGATATTGGTTGAATTAAAATCCTTATTTGTTCAGAAATCACCGTCTATGCCATTATTCGGTAATGACGTACTGTACGTTTAGAATGTAACCAACAGCATAATGCATTAAATATGTATATTAAAGGTCTGGTGGTTTAACAGAAGTTCATAAGTGTTTAAGAATTCAAGAGTAAATCACATGAATGAAATGTCTAGTTTATATTAAAACTTAAAAGGGAAAGAAGTGAAGAGTGATAAATACATTATTATTGATCGACTATTTGGCAGAGCTTATAAAAATGTCCAAAGAGAGGTTAAATGAAATGTCTCGATGCAAATCTTTTAGTTTTTGGATCTGGACCTTTAATGCTAAAGGTACTTTGATACTTAAGGTCTGACGTTTGTTGGTGTATTAGAAGTTTAAAAGTGTGGAAGAATGATATGTTTGTGTGACGGTTACTTGGGAACTCAAGAGTACAAAACATGAATGAAATGTCTGAAATAATTTGTAGCAAATATTTTTGATTATTCGAGTGTCCGGCGGTGATTATAAAAACGGTCAGAGTACAAAATGATAATAATAATAATATTCAGTGCATAAAATACCTAAATTATTTGATACTTATCCAGACATATTTTATACATAATAGATAAATTGATATATACATTAATACTTTTTTAAGTAAACCATGAAAGGTATAAATCCATATGTTGATATATTTTTAGATGGCTAACCAACAATTCATCCTACTAAATGATAATAATCAAAAATTTTAAAATAATTTTATTTACTATACTTTTTTAGGGTGGAGCGAATACTTATATTATACTTCTATAAATAATAAAATAGTAAATTAAATGTCGATTTTCAATATAAATTTTAACCCTTTGAAGCACAGCATTTTTATCTCCGATTTTCTCTGAACATGATTATGAAGGTGGTAATAAATATATACCACTGCGCGAGAGTAGGCTATTTTTTGAAAAAGTGGTATATTACTTATACCACCATGCTTCAAAATGTTAAAATGCAATAAAATGATTTGAAATTAATATTTTATTTTTATGTTTTAATTATGCCCTATGTCTGAAATCACACCACAAAAAAAAAACAAAATAGTCAATATTAATAAGTATCTAATTTAGTTCAAGCTATATCAATAGCAGCTCAAAAAAAAATAAATATATATATATATACATACATATAATATAAAAAATTAACATTAAATAGTTAGTAAAAATAAATGTTCAGACAATTTTTTTGATTTTTGATTACTACTCACAAAAACGGTCTAAGAACACAAAATGTTGAACGCTAAAATAATCTAAAGACAACTGTTTTAAGAATTTATTAAGATGATATAGGGACTTTTGCTGATGCTTTTAAAAAACATACCTATAATTTTTTATAATAAGACTGTGTAAAAATGCATTTATTCGTTGGTTAAATAAGTATTATAAAGCCAGGGAGTAAAAACCGAAATGATTACAATAGCATAAGATGTTGCTATGTATAATGTGATTAAAATAAATTAGATCATGTAATACAGTTATTTCTTATTAGAGCGGAATGAACACATAGATATTTTATGTCAATAATGTATATAAATTTTAAGCACACAAAAGTAGCCCCAGGTGTATAAAACTAAAAATCGATTGTTTTTAGATCTGAACAATTTTTATTCAGTGCATCAAATATACTATTATTATTATTTAAAAAAAAATATTTTTCATTATATATATACAGGGTGATCCAACTAACGTAAGACACTCATTTTCTCGGAAAATATGAATATTTTGAAAAAACATTTTTTCCCATTTTTTTTAGGTATAAGTTTTACTATATTTTTCAATGCTTCGAAAATTTTTATTTTCATCCCTTATACGATAAAAAGGGTCTAAGTTCACGTTTTCAAATGGCAACATATGTTTTTAATTCCATAAATTTGTAGGCAAAAAATTTTAAAATATGTTATCGTTTGAATTTTTAATTTGTATCCATCTAGTCGTTAGCTATGACTTTGTAAAGATATTACATTTTCTCTTAAATATTGTTATATTTCTTTGGTATTCCAAAGACCGGGAGCCAATAAAATACTTATTTATGATCGCATTGTCCGATAGATGAGTACACAGATAACCAAACACAATACAATGTTTTGTGATATTTTGTTTGACCAGCGTTTCATATTTATAGATTACCGACTTTTCTAACACACCGTCATGACAGGTAGGTTGACAGACCTATATTGACAGCAGCTAACGAATGGCTATTTAACCACAACAATCAAAAACCGTGGTACAAGTTGGTTGATAACTGCTGCTATGATGATAATACAAAATATTATTATCATTAGTTATCATATTTTTCTACTATCTATGTTCTACATTCAACAAGTAACAGCACAGTACAACAGATCATCATTATGCTATTTAAAAATTATAATTTTTAGTTTTTATAGGTAGTAAACAATAGCTTTAAAATTTGGCTTACAATCTCATAAGTGCATACATTGAATGGACAAGCGTCGCGAAGCGTTACTATTATTTGTTTAGTTATGTTCAATTTATTCAAAATATGTTCTGTGCTCAAATAATTGTTTTAAACAATTTACACTAAATAAGGAATTTGGATTTAATTTGCTTACTATTTTAATTCTACAGTAAATATTTAAAATGTTGCTTATTTTACATTTAGACTAACTTTTTTTTATTATATAAACAACTTTATTAATAAAAAATAATGCAATAAAGTGGACTGTGTTTAAATGATTAAGATGTCTAAAGACTAGATGTTTGTAAACAGTGTTTTAGGAACCTACAACAAAATCACAGTTATGTTTGAAATTGTATTAATTATCGACTTAATTTAAGCCGGTAGTTCCAAACTGTGATTCAAAGTACTTTTACTTTTTTTTCTGATTTCCCATCCTGTTGGCAAAAAAGATTTGATTTTTCTGTAACGGTAAATTTTTCAACATCATTGATATTTCATTTTTTTTTAAGTCATATTATTTCTTATTAAGATCCCGTTAATAAAAATATGGATCAATAGTTTGTGACTCAATTACACAAAATCACACAGTGATACTCAAACTTCAGAAATAAAGTTAGGGTTTGTGTCACGCAAACATTAAATTATCAGAACTTTTTTATTTTATTAATAACTATTAAAATAAATAGTTTATATGTTTCTAATCTTTTTATTAGTACTTACTAATTATTATTATAACTTATAAGGTGTATAATGTTATAATAATAGTGATTCTAAAGCCTTTATAATAAAATATGTCTGTTTCATAAACTTCAAATTGAAAAGTTAATTCTTTTACAGTTGAATCTGCTATTTTGATTTTATGTATAATCAGTATTTTTTTATTTTTATTATTTTCTTCACTATTTAATATCTAGAAAATTAAAAGCTTAATAGATTTTAGTTGTTTAAAAAGAAAACCATTATTTGATATTTCCTTGTTTACTATACAAATTAAAGTATTGACATTATTAAACTATTATAACGGGTACGTTTTACTAAGATTATGTAAAAGTGGCAATATTAAATCAAAAATAGCCTTAGCTAATTTGTAGTATCTAAATTTAACAATTATTCTGTAATAAAACACATTTTTAAGGATTTAAATTTTATGGAAATTGTACGCGACAAGTTTGTCTGATTTTATACACATACATACATGTATACTATATTTATGTATAAATACAAATAATTATAAAATCAATTATACTAACTTATAATGCATAGTTGTTAAAAATAAAATTTGTTTACCTTTAATGATGCAAATAATGGTTAAAAGAATATTTGCTGTAATGCGTATGCGACAATTTTCCTACTTTAAAGAGTTAAAAAACAATTTTTATTAATTTTTACTGTGTACTTTACAAAATTTGAACATTGATAACACATAGTCAAACAATTGTGTTGATAAATTTCAACGACAAATATATAGTATAGTATAACATTTAAAGAACAATAATAATTTTTTGTCTGATAATATAAGTATTTAACTAATAAAATATTCATAAACTAATTATTAAAACAATAATAAATTTAAAAATTACAAATGTTACTATTTTGAAAATATTCAATCAAAAATATTAAACAAAAACAATATCTATACATTTGAAATTGTTCAACTTCTATAATACTGATTTAAATTTTTTTCTTTTTACAATCGTTGGTAATTAAACAAATCTAACAAAATCAAAATTCAATAAATAAAATTAACTATAAGAATTATCTTAGGCAAGTTCAAAAAAATAATTTACTTGATGTACTGAATTCATTAAATACAAATTAATAGAATTACTACTTTTTTAAAGAGAGAATTATTGTATATTAATAAATTTGATATAAAATTTAACTTTGATAGCCAAATACCTGTGTCAGTTATAGCTAAAACTTTATGATAAAATATCCGTAATGTATGTCAGACACACAATATATGGGTTATATCATTGTAAGAAATAACTAAACTGAAAGCAGACATTTGAACTACCTTAGATAAGTTTAATCAAATAAAAATAATATACTTACATATTATTATAAATATTGGTATAATCAAGAAGTGATTCCTTGTATGTAATAGTATGAAATTTATACATTAATTACTGATATTTAAAAAAAAATGAAACGGGTATATGAGTATTATCAACCCACATACACAAATACATGCATTAATAATTATTTTAAGTTAACACAACACACTTTTCATTCAAATTGCTTAGTGTTGATATAATACATTCACATTAAAAAATGTCACATTAGAAATAAATGTTTTATACTTATAATTTACACCTTGATATATAATTGTAAGGTCTTGGGTCCGATTGGAAAGACATTTCCATAGCAATTGATATGTCATACTCAAAACCAATTTTACATGATAACATTGGTTTTTAAAAGATGAAATATTTTCAGTAAAAAAGCATTCAACCTAAATTAAAAAAGCTAATTGACATCGTACTGTATTAAATTACCCATTAAACTCTAATAAACTTACCTATTAAATTAATGCTTTATATTTATAATTTACACCTTGATATAAAATTGTAAGGTCTTCAGTCTTGGGTCCAATTGAAAAGACATTTCCATAGTAATTGGTATAGCCTATTCTCAACGCCATAGATATTTCTGACATGATAACATTGATTTTTAAATGATAAAAGATTTTCGGAAAAAAGCATTCAACCTAAAATAAAAAAGCTAATTGTATTCGTATTGTATTAAATTATCTATTAAACTTTAATACACTTACCTATTAAATTAATGGTGTGTCCAAGAATGTAACGTCAAAATAAAGTCGAGAGCAAATATTATCAATTGATATATTTAAAAAATTATAAAATAACGAGTTATGACATAACTACAATAAGCATGCTATCATATTTACTATAAAGTATAATGTAAATTTACTAACATTTTTTAATTAAGTTTGCAATTTCTCATTTCACTAATGGAAAACGTGTGAACTTCGAAGTCGAAATTTGTTAGCGATGAGGTTATGTACAAATAATAAATATAATGCGATTTTGTACAAATAATAAAATATATTATGGGTACTGGTCATTCGATTATTCCGTGGTAACTGATGCATAGTTTAGATACTAGATTGTTATCCGAGATAACCAGCTAATGACTAGCTCCAGCTAGATTAGGTTAAAGTGTAAAGTCCGTTATCCGTAAGTCTACCTTTCGTCTAATAATGTATGGTTATTTATTATACCTGATTATGATACGGAAAGCGTTAACATCAAATTATTATTATATTTGATGTGATGACCGTCGTAATAAAACTACTTGTCTTTGTCGAATCGAATGAAATTATTAAGAAATATAGACAAAAATTCAAATCTTTACAAAGTCATAAACAGCGAACAAATGGATGAAAATTAAAAATTCAAACGCTAACATTTTTTTAGATTTTTTGTCTTCATATTTATGGAATTTAAAACATATGTTCCCATTTCAAAAAACGAGGTTCGTACTTATTTAACGTATAAGGGTTGAAGATAAAATTTTTCTAAATATTGAAAAATGTAGCTAAATATGTACCTAAAATTTTAGGAAAAAAAAAATTCGCAAAATATTCATACTTTCAGAGAAAATGAGTGTCTTACGTTAGTTGGATCACCCTGTATATTAATATTTTAACAACAATAAACTTTTTTTTAATTAATCCATGTATTATCTTATTTTTAGATAGGTAAATAAATGTTTTTCTACTAAATAATTTACAATAATACTTCCTAAAAAAAAAATTATCTGGAAAGTGAAATCACATACATGATTTAAAAAAATAAAGTTATATGTTTGTCAATTTCAAAGAATACAAACTATATTTTCAACTTTAATGACAATTATTAGATTTTTCTTAGCTTGAATTGTTGATTTCCACATAGCTTACCTACAATATATGAATTTTCCAAAGTTAAAATATTAAAACCACAAATTAAGTCAAAAAACAATTTTAAAAACCCCAAACGGTTAGTGATAGTACTCGATAGTGATCATACATATTTATATAGGTAAATCATCCTACTAAATGAAATAATTAAAATATATTCAAATAATGCCAATTTAACGTGAAATAATATATCATTAAAAAAAAATATATAAAAAAACTAAAATAATTTTTATTCTATGTAGTGATCATAATTGTACAGCTTTAACAAAAAAATTTGAAATAATTAATGTCTTAATTATTTGTACATTAGTATCGTATGTGTGTGCACGTTAAGAAACTAAAGCGTTAAGAGAAGTCGGTTAAGACACTGTATAATGAAAAAACAACTGTCAATTTAAATTAGGTTTGAGTATAGAGATTAGATAGGCACTAATTATTAAAAAATACTTCATAAATAACAAAAAATGAACTTCTACGGTGTAAGTTTTCTGTTGGCCGCAGGCAAATTAATCGGTGATGGCATAGGATAACAGTCTGTAACCAATGGTAACAATAATAACTACTTATTGTATTAATTAAAGACAGAGTAGATAGAAGTAGCAATCAATCTTCTAAACGGACACGCGTCGGTTATGATTTCACTATAGTATTGGCCTAAAACAAATAATTTACATATATATAAAATAAGTCAGTAAGTTATTTAGTAGTCAACAAATTTTTCAACAAAAAATATGAAATGTATCGTTATCACCACACACAGCGGTTTGAAAAAGATAAGAATTTTGTACATCTAATTAATTTGATAATTTGGTTTAAGCGAAATGTAATATACTACTATACTATATATTATTATATATATTCTAAATCTAAAAAACGTACCGACATCCAACGACGCATATTAATAGGTAATGTTTGCACACCGGGAAACACGTCGATTTCTCTTGAACGAAAACCGTGAGCGAATTACGGACAAATATGTAATTAATAATAACTATTATACGTTTAATATATAATTTTACGTATGTAATATAACAAACTACAAAGACAAACATTCACCAAAAAAAAACAAAACACGCCGTTCGCCGTTTTTAATTTTCATTATTATATATATGATAACGTTTGACACACCGGGAAACACTATTGAATAAAAAACCACGTATGACAATGAACAACAGTGTAATTAATAATAATAATAATAATTTTACGTTTAATTTAAGGAAAGTACAAACTCGGCAATAAAAACAACACACGCCGTCACCGTTATTATTTGATACGATAACGTTGTGACATGATAAAAACGCGCGCCAACGCCACGCGCTGCCCAAGCCGCCTTTATGCTTGTCCATGAGCCAGATGTATTATACGAATCCCATGGAAGAGACGATTAGGCGACTGGCGGGACGTCGGCTATTTGAATTGACATTTTATTATTATGATTATATGATTATATTATATGATTATATTATATTAATATATTTTGTGATATAGACACAGTGCCATTTCCCAGTATACACACTTATAGAAATAGGCATATTGTATAGACTTAAAAATAAAAACTGATTTCATGATTAGATACAGATAAACACACAATCGTCAACGGTCAACCCATGTTATATTTTTCTAATTTATTACCATTATTAACTTATTTTACGATCGTCGTATCCACTTGTCTGTTGTCAAGTCGTATAAAAACAACATGACAACGGAAAATTTATAAATAGTGCAGCAATACTATAATAGGGCGATAGACTCTACGATTTTGAAATTGAAAATCACCTTAACAATAAATATTATCACAACCCCGTTAGTCTAAAAACATTTTATAAATAGTAGCATTTCTTTCAGTTCTAGTTATATATAGTAAAATATTGTAATATTAAAAATTATTTGCCACCCTTGAGAAATTGCCGCCCTAAGCACTAGCTTATAGTGTTTACTGGGAAATACGGCACTGCATGTACAATGCAGTTATTTAGGAAAAATAATTCCTATTGAACTAATATATTCTGACCACAGTATTTTATACGACCAAGTTTCTGATAGTATCAAATCCTTAGGACATCTTGAAAGTTTAATATTAAAGTTTCAAGAAAAATATATATGTAAAGGAGTTGATATAAAAGAATGAAATATTATACTTAAAACACAAGTTACAAATATTGATACTTTAATAATAATTGACATAATAATTGTGGTTGGACCCTGGTGTTATTCACCAGGATCACTACTGTTGCGGGCCTAGTCTGGTCATGTGTCGTTCATGATGATGGTTGATGTTGATGTCCAATATGCTGTAAATAGATTTAGTTCGACATAAAATTAGAAAAAAATAATAGAGACATTAAAGATTGACGAAGAATTATTTACAGTATACAAATATGTAAAGACGAGTTAGCCGAAAGAGTTAGAAATTAATATTAAATATTCTGTTAAACTAAGAAATATTAAGAATCCTTTTAAGTGGGCTGATTTCAAGGAGTTTTATTTAGGCAATAACTAAGAATAAATTGTTTTTTAAAAAATGTACACCGTGTCAATTTATTGACAGATTTATTTGTAAAAGTATTATTATTGTTGGAATGAAATCCTTATTCAAAAACGTATCAAAATAAAATTGGTTTTAATATTTTTAAAATATGAAAAAAAAAAAATGATATACTTACTTATGTAAATGGGCCTAACACTCGAATAGTCCTGGCCGTGGCTCTCTGATATTAACACTTCGTTTCTGAAAATTAATTTTTTTTAAATCAGGCTCATATTTATTATAGTTTCCAGGAACTCTAGGGTGTAAGAACTAAGATCTGAGACACAAATGTTAAGAGGGAAATAGACAACTGTAAATAATAATATACAAATATAAATCATAATAATTGTATTGGTTTTATGCAGACTTCCAAGCTTCTGTCAGACGAAAATATTTATAGTTTAATTGGTGGTAATTTTTTAAAAAAATGTACATGAGTTATCAGGTTTGATCTAGAGCTGAAACAGTTAAATGGCTGCGGGGAAAAAAGATCAATGTCAATTATTGTTTATTCTGAGAAAATCATGTTTTTAACTTCAAAACGTAATACATTTTGCCTGTATGTCTAAATTTCCGGCGGTCGTTACTCTCGATTAATCTGTTTTTTTCCTTGATTCGAGTGCATGAAAAATACAATACGTCAATACAAATAATTTGATACCAAAATCTTATTTTCAAAAAAAAAAATTGACATTGATCTGTTTTCCCCCCAGCCCCTTCAGTTTTTTAAATAATACAAAGGCATTTCTATAGTGAACAATTGTGAACTCGAATATTGCATTAGGAAAACTATATGAAATGCAGTTTAATGACGTTGTCGAGTTCATAGGGAAGTGTGACGATTTAGTAGTTGACTCTGAAGAAAAGGTACATTATTCTATTTACTAGTAAAAATACTTAATTATTTTAATGAAGGTTGTATACTTAAATACAAAATGTAAATTTTAGATATTTGATTTTATCATTGGTTGGGTAAGCGTTAACACGAATGAACGAAATCACTTGTTACTAGAATTAATGAAACACAAACGGTTGCATTTAATTTCAAAAGTGGAACTTCGTCAAATTTGTAATGAAACTTTAGTGGGAAAAAAACAATATTAATTTATTTTAATGATGTCACTCTAAAACTGTATGGTATTCACATGTAGGTAATACATTTTTTTATTTATATTTTGAATATGCCCAGCAGCGTACACCTCTAATTTGTTATACATAATACTAAATGTAATAGTTGAATTATTGTTGGACCGTTTGAACGAGCTGTTGTTTGGCTCTGCTCTACTAGTAAACCATATCTTATCAAATATAGCCGGCATACAGGGCCGTACTCACCTGGATACGATCTTTAAGATGAACTAAAAATGATCTGATAACGAGGTTTCTTGAAATACTCCTATTTATCCTTTTTTTGTTCACGCCATGGTTGCCATATAATTGTTGTCTGTCCGCTTCAATTGTCCTTTGTAAATTTCTCTTTTTATCTTTAATTTCTTCATGTAACCTTGAAATTTACAAATTTTATAACATTAAAATGATGCTATACTATATTCAGAATAAGAACAGGCTTCGGCGGCCGACCAGTTTTCGTCGGGCGGCGGTCAGGCACCGCCCACTTTACATTTCGTCTGTAGCCCCCACCGGCGGCAGTGTTCGTGCCGCCGAAGCCTGTTCTTATTCTGATTAGAGTATATGTTCTAACACATTTTATTTTTTTATATTGAAAAGTATATTTGCCAAATGTATTCAAATTGAGGGGAAGTAGTCATGTGACTAACAGTTCCCCCTCATTGGTTCTGTATATTTAATAGAATGTATTTAAATGTACATTTTTTGTAAAAATAAAAATAAATTTGATAATTTTTAAAAAACGAAAATTTTTGAAGCTTTTGTGGATTTTGAACATTGTTTATTATTAATTAATTTTTAAATCAAATTGCACCCCTGTCACCCCATCGAATATTATAGATTAATTACGACGTGACGGTACTTTTGTAGATGATTATATCAAATTTAGTTGTCCAACTATATTTATGTTCAGTAACCCACCAAATGAAATCCAATGAAAAATCTTTCATAGGTTTTGAAAATTGTTTGTCAATAATGAATTTATTATGAATTATGAAACCGCTGACAAAATGTCTAAAAAAACTTACCGCTCTAATTCCATTTCTGCCGTAGACGGCAAAGCGTCCTCTGCAGTCTGAAATATATAAAAAATTAAATAATTAGTGTAAACTTAATGTGTAATAATATACTATTTTAATTACTCTATTATAATTGTACAAATCAAATTGTTTTTTTTAAATATTTTACTGCAAGTGTATAGGATCATGGTACATAAAATGTGCAACCCGGACCGCTCTTATTCTGAATAGAGTATTGAAATAGTAGAAAATATCGCAGACAAGTTGGGTATAAAATTGTCAGTAACTAAAGCTTTTCGTACGCTTTCAAACATTTTAAATAAACCAAAAAAAATCACAAGATGTCACGAGGGTGATCAATACCAAATTAACAATCCTGCGGGGTCACAACCAGCAGAGTCTACAAATGCGATCGATAAAAATCAAAATTATCTACTGGATGGCAAATATTACAAAATACTGTCGGTTGACGGATCAAAAATTACTGTTAACTGTCAAATTATTTTTATTATTTGTGTTAGATAGATATACTATTATATAAACTTTGGAAAAATATGTTAAGTGTAATATTTGTTTGCGGTTTTAAAAGTAATTCATTTGTAGCAGTTATCAAATTTTAATATTTAATTCTCTGCTAAGTATATATCATAAAAGTATATAAGTATTTATATAAAATGTTCACTCATACATTTTCGTATAACATATTTTATGAAGGTTAAAATATAATTTATCTATTTTTCATCTAGATAAAATTGTATTTATCTTTTATCTTTTAGCTGGATAAATGTTAAATGAATAATTCAATATCTTATCTAGATGATATATTACTCAATTGTCCGTTATCTTATCTAGATAACTTTATAGTTTTTATAGAAAAAAAAATGACAGCAAGTCAATTATGTGTCGGCTGGACCCCTTTTTCGCAAAAAAACAGGTGCGTCGAATAGCCGACAAAACGGCCCGTGCCAAGCGAACCGAGCATAAATGTAGTCGGCATACAGGGCCGTACTTACCTCAGGACCACTTTCCAGATCTTCTATAAAAATTTTTAAATCTTGACATTTGGACAAACACAATCTTAATTTTTTATTTCTGGCCCTTGTTAGAGGGCTATTTTCGGTTACTGCTAAAAGCCTTATTTCTTCGTAATATTGTTGACATTTGGCTATCACATGTTGCTTTTCTTCTATTAGTATGTTTTTAATCCTTTAAATTTACAAATTTCAAAACATTAAAAAGATGTACAAACACAGGTTATTAGGAAATAGATAAGCATGCAAAACCAAATAGTTAATACTAATTTCATTTAGAACTGTATTCAAGCTGTATAAGGTTAGTAAGTACTTATGTTCTAACATATTTTATTTTCTTATTTTGAAAAGTATATTTTCCAAATATATTCAAATTGAGGGAAAGTAGTCGTGTGACTAACAGTTCCCCCTCATTGGTTCTTTATACTTAATATATTGTATTTAAATGTACATTTTTTATAAAAAATAAATTTTATAATTTTTTAAAAACGAAAATTTTTGAAGCTTTTGTGGATTTTGATTATTGTTTATCATTAAAGAATTTTTTTAAATTTTATATAAATAGTTATTTTTAAAGAACCTGAAATTATGAAACCGCTGACAAAATGTCTAAAAAGACTTACTGCTCTAATTCCTCGGACGCTTCAGTGGCCGTGGCCAACCGGTCATTTAACGGCAAAGCGTCCCTTGCAGTCTGAAATGTATAAAAAATTAAATAATTAGTGTAAACTTAATGTGTAATAGTATACTATTTTAATTAGTCTATTATAATTGTACAAACCAAATTGTTTTTTTTTTAAATATTTTACTGGAAGTTTATAGGATCATGGTACGTAATATGTAAAAACAGATTGACAGGTAAGCCAACCTATAATGACCTCCACTCCCTTAATCTATTGAAGAAGTTCAATTAGTTCTTGACGAACGCGGTGTTCAAACAAATAGATAAGAGTTATTTGTATTAATAAACAACAAGGAGTTCAAATGTGTAGTTTTCAGTTGCGTTTCTAATTTAAATACTCTTGCAATAACAAAATGGTTTTCCATGGGCGGTACATTTTCATACTACCCTAATTACTTCACACAAATGTTTACAATACATGGTTTTATCAACGGCTATTATATAACACTCGTTATATGTTTACTATCCAATAAAAGTACAATATCTTGCACTTTTTGCCTAAAATCAATTTGTGAATATGGTTTTCAAAACAATATTACGATATCACCGTCCGATGTTGTAATAGATTTCGAGAAAACTATTCATTTTTCATGTAAAACTGTTTCGCCTTTAGATAAAGTTACACGGATGTCGCTTTTATCTAACACTATCGTGGAATAAAAATATCCAGCAAAACGGCTTGAGAATTGACTACAAAGATAAGAACAGTGATATTAGAAGGTGAATAGTTCAATGCTATGGTATACCATTTCTAAGCCCAGAAAGTGTATCTGAGTATTCTGTAATTCAAGTTTTTATACTATACACCCAGAAATTGTTATGTTTATAGAAAAAATAAAATAAATACAGTTAGAAACTTACATTAAATTAAATAGTTTAATTTAAAAATTTTAATATCAGTGCTCTAAGACCAAACAAAAACGAAAAAATTGCAAAATATTCAATCATTTAAATTCAATAAAACAAATTCAAGATTTAAACAAATATCAAAAAAAATTATCAGACTTTTATGCTATCAGCGTTTTGTTTATAGAGCCTCTCATTCTGATTATAATGTAACAATAAAATTGTTTATTATACAAGTGCTAAAACAGCAATACACGGAAATTAAATTGAAATTATTAGCAACCTCTCAGCTACGGAGCGCCAGCTGGTGTTTAATCAAAAAAATCTACTGGATCAGAGCGTAGTCAAATCAAGAGCTCGCGAGGCCCTTTTTTCCTCTTGGCAGACAAGATGGAACGCGTCCCCCAATGGACGGTGGACCCACCGATTGATCACCGGTATTAAATCATGGCACGACAGAAAGCACGGTGAAATAAACTTCCACCTAACGATGAGGGCTGGGGGGTGAAATGACTAACATTTGTGCCACCCCCCAGTCTTTGATATAATGTAAGAAAAAAAAAAAAATTAGGTTAGGTTAGGAAATTAGCTTATAAGCATTTATTGATTGTAAAAAAAGGTGAAAAAAAATTTGGCCATAGTCAATTTTTTAGTATTTTAGACTTACCAAATCCGGCTTTGGTCCACGTGGGACCTCTTCGACCTCCTCGTCTAATTGTCTCTCTTCTCCCTAAACGCAAAAAAGCTAATTAATACAATATTTAAATATATGTAAATAACAACTCAAGGTTTAATATTTCTCTACTCCAGTTTTGGCATATTTTTTTTTTATTACAACTGTAATAGACTACCACAGCTTTTGGGGCGTACAATCGTTAGGTTAGGTTAGGTTAGGTTAGCTTATAAGCATTTATGGATTGTAAAAAAAGGGGGAAATGTAAATAGACACTGTATCATTGCATTTGTTTATTAAAAGATGATAACATTATTTTCAGCTAATTCATAAAATAACAATGTTACTAACAAGAAGAAGAAGAGACTTACCTTATATTCAGAAGACTGTTCCAAACTTTCTACAGAAGCTTCAGCGTAATGTGTGTTTGGTAAGGTTGCCTTAGCGTTTTGGTTATCATCCTAGGTTAACATAAATAATAACACATGTATAATTAGTTGAAAAAATATAATAAAATTGTAAGCTCAATAAGTCGCGAAGCGACCGAACAAACCTTTTAGAAAACACGACAAGATATGTACTATATACAATATTATAACACTGTGTAATAGTAAGTCTAGAGGCAGGAAGTGAGTTCTTGTAGTAAATATACACACATACACACCCCGATTAAGAGACTAATTTATAAATATTTAAAATAGCCATTCACCGTTACTTCCCCCTTGTTTTTCTTCTATTACAAATCTATTCCAAGAATTTTCCAAAATCATTGTGGGCAGAGGCAGTTAACTTAGCAATGTTTGTGTTAAAACGCACAGGTAATTCGGGTCAAGTAAGCAAATCTCCTTATGAATTATGGTTCGAAAAATCATGTAAAATAGACAAGTACATAGTAGGTAAAATATACAAATCCTATACCTATACCTAGTTTGCTAACTATCAAATAACAAAACAAAGTAGCTCCTATTGTACCGTTATTCCGCTTCTAGTCCTATATTACTTCACGGTAATTATATTGATCAGTGTACCTGAAAAGTTTAGAATGTAAAAAAAATATATATAGAAATAATTTAAGTAAAATTGTATGTTGTAATTATTATGATTACTTTCTGGACGTGGTTTACGGCCGTTTACCTTGGCTGACTAAGTATAAAGAAGAAAATTAACTATCAATATTAATGTTCTTATATTCTTAGAACATCCCTGTTCGCATACATAAGTTTATGAGGAAAATATACAAGTAATCGACTCCTATCAGTATAATGTGTTATTTAATTAGAAATATTGAAGTCGTAAGTATAGGTTGTACCTATAATAAAATACGTTTAGAGTTTTTTGTTACTTCTGCTAATAAAATAAAATGTAATAAACTCTTCATATTTACTTTTTGGAATTCCTATTTAAAATTAAACATAATATTTGTACTATTGTTTTATTATACCAAATAGTAGATACATTTTTTGTAATTAGATCCGAAAAATAAATCTTTAATAATATGGTCTTATCTATAATTATCTCACTTATCTCTTATCGGCGATTGTAAACTGCGCCCAAGGCACAGGTAAACACAAAATCATACAATATGTAAACTGCGACCGAGTTTTTATCAAGTGTAAAAAGGTTACATGTTAACTGCGCCCGAGTTCTTATCGAGTGAAGTTAAGGTTCATTTATACTATTTAATTTAATGTAGGTATGTTTCTATTAAAATTGCTTTTAACTTTTCTAAAAACATAAAAATATTTGGATGAGTTGTTTAAAAACTAGAACTAAAATGGGTATGGAATGACTCGCATGCATTGATGGTCAAAAATGGCTCTTCTGATGCTTGAGCCATATTTCAGGTGGATACTGACTTCTTCACACTATAATAATCTACTAAATAATTCGCAAACGTGTCACTCTTTCGTCGTCGGGCTTAGATATCATTAAATAATTTATAAAATACTCAGATACACTGTTATGAACCCCTGAAATATTTAGTATTAATTAGAGTAGTGTATAAGTTATATTAATATTTCGCAATTGGAGCAACAGAGTATCATGCGTAGACGCGGTCGGCCTAAAAGAATGTGTCTATTATTTTAAAACCGGGGAAAATCTATAGTATCTAATTACAGACCAAAAGCAAAACTCGCTCCAATTCTTAAGCTTTTAGGAAAACTCATAATGTCCACTCTCGCACAGACATTTAAAAATACCTTAGACTCCAATCGACATGGTTTTTATCTGGCAGGTCGACCGACACTAATTAGATTTGTTTTGTATCTAACTTAATAAAATCTACGGAAATTGGCCTTCAAGTAGACGTTATATATATATACAGATTTTAGTAAGGCGTTCGACTCTGTTAACCATTCAATCCTTATTTCTAAACTTAAATCCATAGGCATCTCTGATCCTCTTCGATCCTGGTTTAGCTCTTACCTGTCAAACAGATGTCAACAAGTTAAAGTAAACGACCATCTATCCTCACGTTTTCCTACTACCTCTGGAGTTCCCCAAGGCGGTCACATTTCTCCTCTCCTATTCCTTATTTTTATTATGGACATTGTTATACACAGTTAGATTAATATAAATAATAATATTCGCTGATGTTTGTTATGAAACCCAAATTACACGAATGACAAGTTGTGCCGGCGTAGCACTCGCGTATGGTAGCCAATTGCACCATGTGTTGCATGGAGTTTGTTTGGTCAACACTAGGCGTGTCTGAATAATTAGAAGCAGGAGATAACTCATTTTCTTTTTGGCCGTGTGGCCATATCTGATCATTGTGCCTTAGTCAGAACCATCATTTAAAACTACTTTATGAGTATTATGACTAATATTATCAGTAATTGTACCCTTCGGCCAATTTTCACCTGTTTTTCTGTAATCTTTAACTAACACACCATCCCCCTTATCTAAATTTAAGTCTCTTTTACCCCCGTTTTTTATTTGTGTTACTTGATTATTAATAGCTACTTCGTTGGTGTTTGGTATTAATAAACCAAATAGTGTTTGTGTCGAATGACCCAACATGAGTTGAGCGGGAGATTCGTGTGTTGTCGGGTGAGAAGGGACTCCTGTTAAATGCCTAATACCTAGTTTTTTACAGGCGTGAAAAGGCGTGCATTCGGACTTTACTTCAACGTCGGACTTGTTTCATGCTATAAAGAAGATGGCCGTCATATGTCTGATGTAATTTTTAAAAAATGAAATGGCACTCACTTACATATCATAAAATATTAATAAAATGTTTGTACATCTAAAATATACTGAGTTATGTCTATCTATTTTTGACCCTACTCGTTGGCAGCGGGGGCACGCTGCACCTTAACTATCGATTCATTGTTTTTCACAAACGCGTCGTACGCAAACACACGGTGAACGACACTCCACTGCGCTATAGTGATAACTAAATGACATTATCTGACGGATCGAATGAGCTTATCTAGACCTGCCTACTCCCATTCAATGTTGAGAAAAACCCATCTATTTTTGTCCCTATTTCCGTGGCCCACCCTGTATTATATTGTATTAAACTTATATATATATATATATATACGTTATAATAATAATGTACGATTGTGTTAAATGAAAGCGACATCCATGTATGTTTATCCGAGGCCAAATAGCGAGCGAGTGCTAAAACACTCGGATATCTGCCGTCCTCATTCATTCTGCCCCCTCGTCATGGCAATTTATGCAATTTGGTAAAAGTGGTAGAAACCCTAAAATGTTAATATTCCCGTGATTTTATTGATTCGGACGCTGTTTGCATTTCATACCGATGACGAGAAGCTGGGCGCAGCTTACATGCAGGTACTAACCTTTTTCCACTTGATAAAAACTCGGGCGCAGTTTACACATACGTTTTTTAAACCAAATTATAAACGAGGCGCGGTTTACGTATGCCCAAAAACTCAATAGATAATCGTTTTCTTGCACCCGGCCTTAAAGGTGCGCGTCCACAAGTCCGCATCGGACGGATTTTAGTGTGCTATAGCCAATACTGGAAAAATTGTACATCCGGTTGAAACGACCCGTCCGATGCGGACATATGGACGCTTACCTTAACACGTAAAGATTGTCAGCTGGCCCTGGACAAGCGGAGTTGTGTGTGCGACCGTTTCCCTAAGTGTGACAATGAAATATTTTTGAAATTCATACGTACGGATTGTAACCACCGAGAGCAGCAATAGTCAACCAGGTAGGCACAACCGAACCCCGCCACAAATCCGCCGGCCGCATACAATTTAAGTGACATCATGTTTCACAAAATCGAGTATGTTGCTGAGACGTGATGACGAATAACGAAAACTGAATACTGTTATAAGAATAACGAAAAACTGAATACTGTTATAAGAATAACGAAAAACTGAATACTGTTATAAGAATAACGTAAAACTGAATTCTGTTATATAATAATAAATAACAACCAATAATACCTAACAATGATTTAAAAAGCCATTATTATTATTTATTCTATTCGGATAGCTTTTAATCAGCTGTTAAAATTCCGAGCTTTTTAAAAACCCAAAAATGTTTTTTTTAATACATTTCATAACCAATACTCTTTAATGTCTATACAAATGACCAGGCCATTATGGGAACTACTCGTCGTTTCCTGTATGCCGACGATTTAGCGATAACTGCGCAGGGGAAAACTTTCAGTGAAGTGGAACACACACTCGCACATGCGCTGGAGAAATTGGACAGATTGTATACACAGAACTCACTAAAACCCAACCGAGCAAATAAGTGTATTCCAGCACAACCAAAATAGGTTATTTTTTGTTCGCGGCTTTTGGCGATTTAAATAAAAATTGTAACATTTGAATTTAAAAAACTAGTAAACGAGTAAAACAACATTTTTTTTTACTATGTAATAGTCATAATATGTCATAAGTGTAATTAATCATTAACGTGTATTAATAGTCCTACAACTTTACAGGTTGAATTCTAAAATAGTGCAATTATACAAAACAAATGTGTGATTCAATCATCTGTACGAGAAGTATAATAAATGATGTAAAACATAAAAATAAATAACATTTATATTCGCAATTTGAAGAAAATCCGTCACGCCTTTACTGTGACCTGCCCTTGTTAGAAAATGGCTGCTGTTTTTCGTTTACACAATAGCGTTCAATCAGCCAATCAGAAGGTCCCATTTGAGCGCACGCACGTGATAGGCGGGTGTACGACAAAATTTAATGTTAGGTATAAATTCAGGGTTGGACTAGCTCACCGGACATCTCAGTTTAAAAACGTTGGGCCTCCTTGTTCAAAAGTTGTATTCAATGATTCAGTAAGTGAATAATTCGATTTTTTTTAGTAATTACATTAATTTGACGGTGTTTAATATTATGATGTAATATAAGGATGAACCGACAGACATACAGGCTGACATTACTGGACTGGACAATTTTCATCCTGTTAATTCAATAGAAATATTAAACATTCCAGTAAGTAAATGAATTAACAGTTTTATAATTTATTTGAATTTAATTGTTTAAAAAATAAAATGTTTACCTATACGATCAGTCAAAATTCAAGGGCTCACCAGAAAAAACAGACATGTCTATTTTTATGACATGTAGCGAAGATTTTTAGCGATGATTAAAGAACGAGTAACAGTAGATCAGAAGAGCCAAAGGAGAATTTTTTTGCATTTTTTGTTAATTTTTTTTTAAGACTTTTTAACGGGCACTCGAGTGGGCACCGTATGAAATGCGATATCTGTAATAATAATCCAAATTTGCCTCTTTCCAAAGACAAAAGTCCTATTTATTCGAGTCGTGTTCGGAATAGTAAATGCAGCTAAATTGTCTACATCCAGCCGTGTACCGGATAATAAATCCTTTTGGGGTTCTCTAATGGGATTTGTCGGGCAGCACGGGGTAGGAATTGTTTACAACAGTAATTAAGGTCGACGACGCGCCTGCTAAATCAATATTCGAAAATGTTTTCATATTATATAGTCATAATTCATATATCTATTTGAATAGGTATCGTTTGGTATGAACGACCAAAGCAAATTAGACAACGAATCAATGCTGGACAATACTGCATTCCAACCCATATAACGGACATTTTTCAGTTCAGTTTTTTTTTAAAATATTATATCTAAAATATTGTCATTTTGTACGTGGAAGCAAATGAGCTGGAGAGAGAGAGTGAGAGAGAGAGAGAAGGAGGGATAAACAGGGATATTGATAGCATCGTAAAAAAAGGAAACGATCCGGAAAATATTAAACCGGAATGGGGCGAGACCATAAAATAAAGGTCTACAAAAGTTAGATAAGGGCAGATCATGACCGAGTCGTGCATTCGGAATACATTATATTGTTTGTTTAATCTCTCGAATATAGAGTGCACTCTTATCTTGTCAGTGTTTTAAATATGTTATATTTTGTTAGTTTGTCCTATCTCATAATATTCTAGTTTAAAGCCACCTTGACCGAATTCTCTGACCTAAAGACGGCGTACCCGCGACATTTACGCATTTACTTGAAAATAAATAAGAAAAAGTTCAATTTTGTCAAATTATTTTTGTTATATTACTTGTCCACCCTCTGATTGGGGTTCGTTTTATTAGTTACCACGTTCAATCGTTCTGACTGCATTTTTTTTTTTTTGTCAATGGAGTTTTTTTTTTTGACATGGACATGTCTTATGGCAGGGGTCGTTCACAGTGCTGACGTCATTAAGTATATATATATATATATATTTCTTCTGTCCGTGTGTAAGTATGCAAACTCCTCTCGATTAATGACTTCAATATTTTTTAAAATTTTTTTATGTCAACTTTTTTTGAGTGAAGTTAAACGGTTCCACGTTAAATACCCAAACAATTACCCATTAATGTGAATATGTCTTAGTGGCGTAACGGTTAACACCTTGAACTAATAATCAAGAGGTTTCGGGTTCGAATCGAGTCAGGCAAAACTACCTATTTTGTATTTTTTTAATTTTTTAATTTATATTTCAACGGTTAGAAACATTTGAAGCCTCAAAAAAAATCAATTTAACTTGACCTATCGGCTTCTAGACAAAAAAAAAATCTATTATCGTCAGCGGATTTATATTACACAATTTTTTCTTTCTCTTTATAAGAATAACTACAGTGATCCGATCAGCCTAACACACCGGCAAAGATAATAGATATGGACATAGGTTTTAAGTACTCATGAGCTCGACAAAACAAAAAAAACTCGCCGGCACCCCGTACCGTACACGGCGTTTAACGACACCAAAGCACTGTGTACTATTATATAAAGCCGTGACACGACGTGACAGCGTTTCTCGGTGATGTCAAAAAAAAAAAATGAGTTGGCCGTCGAAACGACTTTGCCCTAAAAAAAAACGTCACAAAAAACACGTACCTATCGTCGCTCAAAATCCA